ACCTGCTCGCGGGGGAGGGACGTGGGCGCTGCAGATGGCCAGTGACGAGGGCCAGAGGATCTGAGCCTCGGGAGCATCTGGTGCGGGGAGAGGTCACCCAGAGACCCCAGATCCTGAGTCAGCTGGACGCATTTCTGCCGTCGATTCCATCGGTTCTCCAGGCTGCCTTGGCGCCAGTGCCACCCTGAACCCGTGCCTACTTTTGAGGCCGCTTGTATCGGGGCCAGCAGGTCCTCTGGGTTTAGGGGACCCTCTTCTCTCCCTGGCCCCATGTAATTGCTAATCACGTCCTCATCGCCACTGTCCCAAGATGGCCACTCCCGGGCATCTGAAGACTGGAGTCCTTGTCCTGACTCAGCTGCTGCCCACGGGAGACCTCAGGCAGCCGGAGTCACTGTGGAGTGGTAAGAACGCGCTGGAGGACTGTGTGACTTCAAGCAAATGACTTCACCCTCTGAGCCTCAGTTTCCTCCCCTGTGACATGGGGAGAATAGCTGCGTGCCTCGGAGGGGTTCTGAGAAACAAGGAGGCATAAAACCGCAGGACCGCGGTACAATCGAGCGTGAGGGCGAGTGCTAAGTAAATGCTACTCGTGGTGCTGGGGGCCTACAGCGCTGATGAGAGCCTAGCTCCACCTCCTGGAGCCCAGGGGCCTTGAGAAAGTCATTGCTCCTGTGGGCCTCAGCGTCTTCTCTGTAAGCCGGGGATGATGATAATATGAACAGCACCACCTTCAAGGGCTGTTGAAAGAATTAAATGACCTGTTGCCTGGAGGTGCTCAGCAAGATGCTGGATACAAGCCGTGCTCAGTTTGTGGTTATTATTCACATTTACTTACTAATCTCCTCTCTCGGCCTCAGTTTCCTCATCTGTAAAACAGGGGCAGTGATCTCTGAGATCCCTTTCGGCTCTCATTGCTCTGTGACCAAGTTGCCTCTTTCTCATTCTGGGGATCTTGGGGGAGCCGTGTCCCCCTGGTCTGACGGGGACCAGCCCCCTCTGAAGGCCACCAGCGTCCCCCACCCTTGGCAAGTCTACACAAACCAGAGGCACTGCTCAGTGGTCCTCTGCCCTTCCCCTGGGCCTGAAAAGGATAAAACAAGATTCAACAACAATAACTACAATTTTTTTTGAGCTGCTGGCAATGTGCCAGGCCCGTGGACTTATTCCCTGAACCCTTGGAAGTTGGCATCTTTATCCCCAGTTAGAAAAGATGAGGACTGAGGCTCAGAGCGGTTTAATGATTTAGTCAAGGTGACTCAGCCAGAAGTGGCAGAGCCGGAACTTGAATTCCAGTAACAACAGTAATAATAACAGCCAACAACAATAATGTAGCAGCTAACATTTGCCGTGGAGCGCGCCAGGCCCTTTTAAATACTGGCTCATTAAACTCTCCCAGTGACCCCACGGGGTAGATACTATTATTCCCGTTTTACAGATGAAGCAGCAAGTCCGAGAAAGATGGGATGAGGGGCCGGCCCCTTGGCCGAGTGGTTAGGTTCACACGCTCACCTTCAGCAGCCCAGGGTTTCTCCAGTTTGGATCCTGGGCGCAGACGTGGCACCGCTTGTCAGGCCATGCTGAGGCAGCACCCCACAGAGCACAACCAGAAGGATCTACTGCTGCAATATACGACCGTGTACTAGGGGGCTTTGGGGAAGAGAGAAAAAAAAAAAGACTGGCAACAGATGTTAGCTCAGGTGCCAATCTTTAAAAAAAAAAAAGGATGGGATGAATTGCCCAGAGTCACGAGGCTAGGAAGTGACAGAGCTGGTCTTGAACCCAGGTCTAACTGAGGCCGAGGCGGGAGCCGTGTGCTTGACTTGTTCACACGGTCTTCCAGGCATCACAGGTCATCCAGCAGCTCCAGGTGCTCCTTCCCACCCTTCCAGGCTGGAGCTATGCAAGCCCCACACACAGGCTGCTGGAGCCCGTGGCCCGTGAGTCCCACGGCTCCTGAAGAGGGCGCTGCACTGGTCATCTCAGACCAGGGATTCTCCCCTCGGGCTTCCGTGGACTTCAAGTTGTGTACAAACTGTGAGCACGTGTGTGCACATCTGTGTAGGGAGAGAGTGCAGGTAGCCTTCATCAGATGTTTCTGATTCTGCGGAGTGGAGAACACAAGGGACATCCCTGAATTTCCTGGGTGTCCCCACCCTCTGCTGGGGCTCCAGCACTGTCTTCCAAGAGGGGCTCCCAGGGAAGAAAAGCACCAGGCCAAAGCAAATGAAATGGCACGCCCAGGTGGGCCACAAAGCTGGAGCGAGCCCTCTCGATAAGCGAGACAGGACCAGCCTGGGTCCGGTATAGCCAGCGAGATTCCAGGGCCTGGGTGAAGTGGGAGGCGAGCCACAAATCCTTCCAGGCACTGATTTATGTAGCATTCATGCGGAATTTATTATACAAAGAATTTTATTCAATTAAACTTGAAATGCGTCTGGATTCTTAGAGGTTCAGTAGTGATAACTGGGACAGAGCGATCATAAAACTGGATGGGCTGTCGGAGGCAGGTGTCGGGGAGGAGGCAAGGGTGACATTGCAGCTGACGGGGGATTCGGAACCGGGGACGTTTGTCATTGGGATGTGTTACAACTTGGGGCTATGGAAATTACTCGGTGAAAAATGCACATTAACAATAGCCATGAAATATCAGTTAAGGGAAACTAGGTTGAGAAATGAGACAGCAGAATCTATTAGTGCCTGACATTGTTCTTGGCAGCCCAGGTTGTGATTAAAATGACTGTCAAGTGGCAGTGGGGAGAGGCGAGGAGCACTGGGCCAGGAGTCACAAGGCCATGTCCCAGGCCCACTTCTTGGCGCTGACTCCCTGAGACAAGTTGGTTCCCATGAGCCTCAGTTTCCTCACCTGCACAGAGTCCATAGGAAGCGCCTGTCTCAGGGCTGCTGGGAGGCCTGGACGAGATGATGTCTGAGGGGCCCTGGTGGGGGCCCGGCTCATGGCAAGCGCTGCCACAGTGCGGGCTGGCGCTATTGTTATGGCGGGTGCTCTCCGAGGGAAGCGCCGACCACCAGCTCATCTCTGGCAATGTATCCCGAGAGCTGGACCTGGACTAGGCTGGGGCAGGTGAGGCACTTTCTTGGGTGCAAGATGTATGGGAGTGCCAAAAAAACCCACTAAGCAACAAAAACAATGTTTTCATGCAATAGTTTAAAAAATCAAAATTATGCAAAAAAGATCTATGATCAAGGTATCACAATTTTGCTGTTTGCTTCCCGACCCTGCGTCCCCGTGCAGCAGGGACAGTCATTTCCCAGGGTGGACAGTGGTGCAAACAGGTCAGGCGCCATGGGCTTTCCCTAGTCATGTGGTTCGATTGTGGAGCTTCATTAACTTGTCCCGCTGGGGTCAAGGCTGGGGAGCGTATTCTGGTGAGGGCACGCAGGGCACACACTTTCCTCTTGCCCCAGGTCCAGGATGGCTTCAGAAGGGCCTGCAGAAGAGCAGAGACCACCCCATCCTCCAGCCCATAGAGAAGGCTTCTCAGTCCTCCCAGGGTGGCCGCCCAGGAGAAACCTCCGCCCTGCCCCTGGGCCGGTGCTCAGAAAGTCTGCTGTCTGCTGTGAAAGGAAGACGCAGACGTGGGGCCTGGGGACCTGGGTCAACATCCGGTCTGTGACAGCCCCTCCCAGCAGGAGCTGGCTGGACCGGATTTGGCAACAAACTGCCTTGTTTCAAAGGTTGTCAGTGTAGGACACTGTATTTACTCCAAGAGCTGCTCTTGTCCGTGTGGGGTATGTTCCACCATGGCTCGGAGCATCGGGTTGCTGTTCTTATTATATACGTCCTGCTCCTTCGTGAAAGGTTCTGAGGAGTGGGCAGAATTGAGTGAACTGAGCGTTTTGCCCCAAGCCCTCGGAACCAGTTAACACCCGGGGCTCCAGCTGCTCCTGCTTCCAGTTCAGACCTGGTGTGGACCACCGGGCAGGGCGGCCAAGGCGCTGGGCACGGCCACTTCCTGGACAGTTTTCACTCTCCCACAGTCGCCTGCACCGCAGCCACTCTGCCCAGGCAGCAGGGGGCCACCGCAGCCTGCCAGGACAGACCCAGAAGGGACAAAATGTACCTGTTCCTCCAGCAAAATTAGCAGGCGAGGCGGTAAGAATGAAAGCAAAAATAGGCATGAACTGATCACTTTAATGTTGGCTGACTGGCCACAAGGAGGACAGAGAGTGGCCAGCACCCCCAGCCTGGCCTGGGCCGCATGCTCAGCAGGCGCTCGGGAGAGAACCGATGGCTAGACTGCGTTCACCAGGCACTGGAGGCCTGCCGGTCAGCAGGGGCCTGCCCTTCCGAAGCCATTTCCTGCAATTAGCAGCGTGCAGTCTTCAGGCTCTCAGGGCTGCCTCCTCGCCCTTCATAAATATCCCCCTTCCCAAGGACACAGCTGGCACCAGCAGTGTCGTTTCATGGCGGGAGGGAGCAGTGGTGACAAGTGAAATAAAATACAGCCGTGGCACGGATCTCAGAGGCACAAACCAGCCAAGTGCGACATCAGAGAAATCAGTCAGCCCGTGTCAGCCTCGCTGGAAGGGAAGATCTTCTTGTCTCAAGTGGAGCACCTCCACCTCAGGGCCCCGACGCCATCCGCCAGGCAGGAGGTGGCCTCCTGGAAGCAGTGCTGGCCTCTCCCCAGGGTCTCCGCCCCTCGGTGGGGGAAGACCCCCCTCTGAGAGGATTCTCCAGGCTCACCCCCGCCATGGCCCTTTATCCAAGTGCAGAGTCCCGAGACCGCGCCCGTCGGTCTGCAGCTGTCCTTCCCCCACACTTGGGCAGTGATGGGGGCTCAGAGGTGCACAGACTTCCAAATCCTGCCTTCCCCTTTATAAAGGTGACATTTAAAGCCCCTTTGGCACAGGTAAATCACAATTACACTTCCAACAGCCTCTGGTACCACTCCAAATCCTTGCACAAAACCTGAGCCGGCAGTGGAAGGGTGCACACATATGCACACATGCATGCACGCACACACACACACGGCTCAAGCCTTTCCCACTTTTATTCTTTTCTCTACGTGGCAACAATCACTTCACCCTTCTTTTCTGCAACACTGAAGTCATGCCCACTTCCTCTAAGACCACGGGAGTCAGGCAGAACTCTGACACAGCCACAGCTCCGTGCGGGCAGGGAGAGGTCTGAGGGGCAGCTGAGGCCGGACAGAAGCCTGGCTTCCAGCCTCTCTGGGTGAGGTAGCCAGGGATCAGGACACCAGGGGCAGCCTCTTCTCTTCTCTGACGCCACCATGGAAGGGTCTACAGAGCTCCCCTCTCCATCACTGCCGAGGGCCTCAGTCTCTGTCCGAAGGCTCGTTTTTCTTGTATATTTTCTCTTGGTTCCCCTCCTTCATGGCCACATATCTGGCTAACGTGAAGAGGTAGTCGCTGAGTCTGGAGGGACAGAGAGAAGCAAATGGAATGATTTGAAAGGGGAGATCAATGCTAACTGGGTCCTTCCCGCATTAGCCTTCAAGGAGGAAATATAAGTCACTCGCCCCTAGAAGCATCGGGAGCGACAGCGGTGGCTCAGCCACCTTGGGCTTGACGGATGGCACTCGAAGCCAGCTTCCGTGAGAGGGAGCGCCCGACTCTGGTGCTGGGGCTCGGAAGGTTCCTGCAGGACGAGGCCACCAGCCCCGCCAGACCTCACAGGGCTGGCGACTTTGAGCTGCTCCCTGGGCTGGCTTCTGCACCTCCCAGTGCCTAGGACTGGCACCTCCCGAGCCACAGCGTGCACAGTCACCTGGGGATTGCGGTGGCCTGCAGAGTCTGACTCGGCAGGTCTGAACTACACCTGCAGGATGCTGGCGCTGCTGGTCTGAGGACCCCACCTCGAGGAGAGGGGCCCGGGACAGGGCTCTCCGCCTCGGCACTGCTGACACTCTGGGTCATTCTTTGCAGTGAGGGAGGGAGGCTCTCGTGTGCACTGTAGCACCTTAAGCAGCACCCCTGGCCTCCGCCCACTCGATGCCAGGAGCACCCCCACCCAACTGGGACAACCAAACATGTTTGCAACAGTGCCAGCCGGCCGGCTGAGAAGCACTGCCTGGAGTGTTCGAGTGGCTACACTCTAGGCCCTCTCCCTTCTTTTTCTGACCCAGCAGTGGGGGGGCCTCTGCGCGGCGGTGGGGAGGAGAGAAATACAAGAGGAGACGCGCGCCTGCCCTTGAGGTGCTTGTGGTGAGTTGGCGAAGCTGTCCACCTCTCGGCTGGCCCACACTTGGCCTTGTTTGCACGCCCAGCACTGACCACTACCCTCCTCCACCTCTCCTCACTCCTACCCTCTGCGGCCAACTCCATGCCAGGTCCTGCTGGAACCCTCCCCAGCCCATGCCGCCCCTGGGATCAGAACCCCCTCCTCCTAATGCCTGGCAGCCCCTGCTGTCTCTTGGGGTGGGGGAGGGGGGCAGTGGAAGAGATTCTGCTCTGAGTGTCTCCCTGTCCTGAGCCGTGGGCTCCCGGAGGGCGGTGACAGGCCTGTTTCTCATCCACTCAGTGACGTCCTGACAAATGGAACGTTCCTCACGCCCCTCAGGCCCAGGAGGAAGGGAGCCCAGGCCATGTCCCGGCAGGAGGAGTGTCCACAGTAAGGGGCCAGACCCCAGCTGTGAGGTCACTTACTGGACACCCCAGGACAGCTCCCAGGGGTCCCCCAGCTCTCGGCCCGGCCCTGGGCCCTGGCCTTGCCCACACTGGAACTGCACGAGCCAAGGCTGGGGTGGAATCTGGCAGGGCAGGCCGTGGGGGCTGACTGGGGCTGCAGGACCAGCCCAGCTCAGAGGCGCCTGCGCCGGGGCCCTGAGCCGGACCGTCTGGAGCTGGCTTTGCCTGCCTGTCTCCTCTTAGCTCACGCGGCCCCGGGGCCTGGCGGGAGGCAGACTGAGAGGGCCTGGCTCCTGCTTGGGCTCCCTGGTCCGTCACCACCATACCTTACAAGGCCTCCCAGTCACCCAGCCTCAAAGCAGGGCCCCTGTTGCCCCGTTCCTACATTTTTCTCTGCTGGTTTTTATAGCAGCCTCTCCCAACACGATCTTCACCCACCAGAGACAGGGACGGCACCCGTCTTGTTCTCAGCTGTACCTCCCGCCTGCACAGTGCTGGCACCCAGCAGCCCCTCAGGGAATAGGAAGCGACTGAGTGACCGGAGCCCGTTCCATTGTCACGTCCCGCAATGTGCCTAGTTTTCAGAGGAGGGGACTCTCCCAATTCCACGGAGGTACCTGTTTAAGAACTTGGCCACGTTTGCGTCCGTCTCACCCATCTGCACGAGAGGCACCACGCTGGAAAGGGAGGAAACACAGCGTCACCCTGCAGTAGGGGGGCAACGCGCAGGGGCCAGGCTGCATCCCAGCCAGCGTTCCGCAGCCGCCGCAGCCGACCTGGCGCTCCCAAGGGCATTCCGGACGGAGGGCTGCTGCCTGCTAAGCACTGCGCTCAGCCCTGCGTGCGCGTCACCTCTGCTGCATGACCCTCGCTGGGGGATGCTCTCCCCAAAACCGAGGCTCTGGGTTTGTGCCCTCCACCCAGAGGTGAACTACAGGCACGTCTCCAGCTCCTCGTCTGGAGTCCTGAGGACCCACCCTCTGTTCGGCCATTCCCCTCTGTTGGGCCTGTGGGTTGTCTCCAGTTTTTTGCTATTGTGAGCACTGCTGATGTGGATGGCTTTGTACAAATGGCTATTTTTTTCTTTTGAAGCCAAAGCTCTCCCAGGATCCCTGGAGGTACCAGTCGGGCCCGACTGCCTTTCATGAAGGAGGAAGCCTTATGAGATGGGGGGCAGAAGAGCTCAGGTTTGGACCAGACAGACCTGGTCCTCAAATCTCCTCTCTGCCATGGACCACTCAGGTGACCCTGGCTATGATGTCACCTCTCTGAGCCCCAATTTCCTGACTCCTGTAAAGTGGGGGCTGCCCCCACCTCTCTCCCAAGGTTATCGTGAAGAATCAGTGAAATAATGACTATCGAGTGCCTGCACAGGGGCCGGCCCCGTGACCCAGTGGTTAAGTTCACACACTCTGCTTTGGCAGCCCAGGTTCGCTGGTTTGGATCCTGGGCACAAAGCTAGCACTGCTCATCAAGCCACGCTGAGGCAGCGTCCCACGTAGAAGAACTAGAATGACTTACAACTAGGATATACCACTATGTACTGGAGCTTTGGGGAGGAAAGAAAAAACAAGAGGAAGATTGGCAACAGATGTTAGCTCAGGGCCAATCTTCCTCACCAAAAAGCATACCTTTAAAAAAAAATTTCCTGCATAGCCTTGCATGTCATATCAAAGTGGGGCTCTATTTCCATTTCTCTGTAAAGCTGGGTGGCAGCCTGGTCTATGGGGAGTGAAGATTTTGCAATTACTCTTTTGAAGATCCCTTGAAAAGGCAATCAGTAGCCTTTGAGGGAGGGACCCTCCTTTCCCTGACTCTGAGTTGGGGGTGGGTGGGTTGGGGGGTTGGCTGGTCTGTTGACAGCTTCCACCTTGGCCCCCAACAGCCATGTGTGTCCCTCTGGGCCCTTCTCTACCCAGCAGCCAGCAGGGTCCTTTCACGTCACCCCATGAACTAAAACCCAGAAGTGGCTTCCTGTTGCTCTCAGGATAAAGGCAGACAGACCCCTCTGGGCCTACAAAGCCCTGCATGGCCCCGGCTCAGCCCCTGGCCTCATTGTGCCACATACCACTTGCTCTGGACCCACACCCCTGGCTTCCTTTCCGTCCTTTCAATGCAGACTGCCATCTCTCCCCTTGCCATCCGCTCGCCCTGGACACTGCTCCCGCCCCCCGTCCTTCAACTCTCGGTTCACACGGCAGGACTGGGAGAGAGACAACACAGCACGCCCACTCCCAGGCCAGGCACCCCAGCACCGAGCGCCCTGCTCCCAGCCCTTAGCCCAGTGTGGAGCTCTGCAGTCACTTCTGCACAGCTCAGCCCGCCCCGTTTACGCTACCCCCAGAGCAGGGAGCTGGGCCCAGGGCAGGCAGATTTTCCCTGAATCCTCTCTTGAAGGGCACTGTGAGTGTTAGAATTACAAATAAGCAGCCCAGCCCCCCGGGGTCTCCTCCCCCGTCCCCCTTAACTGCTTGTTCCCCCCCAGCTCTGATCTGGATGTGCAGTTCCATCCTCTGTCATCCGTCTGCTCACGGCCACTGTCTCCCTCCACAACACGGGGCTCTGAGGACAAGCACCTGGTCTGCCTGGAGCCCACCTGGTGCGGTGCAGCAGCCAGGAGAAGATCTGTGGTGAGCAGCTGACAGCATGGAGCCACCCCCACTAGCCCCCCTCCCTCCACCTGGGTCCCTTACCGTCTCTCAGCTCGGCGGCACACGGCCCGACAGAGATGCAGCGCCGAGCTGCTCTTGCCTCCCGACTGCAAGGAGAAAGCGGGTGTTGGCTGGCGGGGGCAGCAAGCCCACTGCAGACAGGGAGCTCCTCGGACAGACGGACGGATGGATGCGCAGGCCCTGCCCCGCAATGGGCAGCATTCTGCCTCCAGGGGGCCCTGCCCGGGTGCACCCACTGGGCAGCCCCCTCCAAAGCAGGCAGGGCTGGGGAGGGACCAGCTTGGGTCTGGAGGGGACGGGGGGACAGCTTCTGTTGCAGTTGAAAATTAAAGAGGGGGACTGATTCCATGTCCGTGTGTTTCTGTCAATACCCTGGGCCTGCAGCCCACAGGGTGAGGCTGCCGGTACCTACGGGCAGGATGAACTCTGTGAGGGGCGGCAGCTGGCTGGAGTACTTGTCGATCCACTGCTCCAGCTCCAGGATGGGCCCTGCCTCGAACGCCGTGTGTCCTGAGGAGTCAGGGAGCAGAAGGACACTGCTGTGAGCCCACTGCCCACCAGATCATAGGGGCGCCGCCCCACATCCCTTCTCCCCGGGGGGCCGCAGATGGCTTCCACTGGCTCGGGAGGTAGCTTCCCTCTCAGGGTCTACAGGCCTGGCCAACAGGGGTCCCAGGTGAAACCCAGGAAAGGGTGCCCCCCTTGGGCCTCGGCAGGGCCCTCAGAGCACATACGGCGGGTTGAGAGAGAGAATTACTTAAGTGAGCCTCTCGGGCCGAGGAGCGTGGTGTCGCCAGGGCAGAGCCGATGTCCTGCAGAGAGCACTGGATCTGGGGAAGCAAGAGAAGGTGCCGCTGAAGATCTGTCCACGGCAGGCCACGCAGAATGACGTGGACCGACACGCCTGCAAGGCCTGCGGGGCTGGCCTGCCGGGGACGGTCCGAAGCTTTAATTAGCTGGCATTTAAAGGCTAATTAGCAAACTGTCTGAACCTCTGAACATCTGCACAGGACACCAGCCTGGCTGCGAGGGGACCTGGCTCCCTTGGGGACATCTGGGTTACGCAGACAGTGAGCCGTCAAGCGCCCAGCGATAGTGATGAGGAATCTTCTAGCCCGATCCTCCTCTCCCACGTGCCTGGGCCCTGCGAGGTTTTCGTCTTTTCTCTAAACTGGAACAGCCGGGCCAAGAGACCAAACATGACGTGCTTTCTAAACTGTAACGGACAAGCACCTGCGCAAACAGGGCCAGCTGAGTGTGGGGGTGCCTGGGGCAGGAAGCTGCGGCCGGCTGAGGCCTGTGCTCAGTCCGAGGGGTGGGAAGGAGTGGGCTGCCTGGAACAGAGGTGGCCTGTGGGGCTCTGCTGAGGGGACCCCAGGTCCCTGCGGGGCAGATGACCAATGGACTCCCGGGCCCATGAGACCCACAAACACCGCCTGACCTTGAGCCCAGCCGTGTCCACTGGAGCTGGATGGTAGGCTGCGGGGAGAGTGGAGGTCTGTGACCTCCCATAAGACGGCCACTGTGACCGTGGCAGGAGCAGGACACAGCAGGGGAGAGCAGAGGCTGCCTGCCCAGCAGTGGATGGGAACCCTCCCTGGGCTCCCGACCAGCAGGACTGGGGTGAGCTACTTGGCTGTGCGGTGTCTCTGTGACTTCTGGTGGAAGGGGAGTGACGACACTTCCCCACGGGCTGGCCAGCTGCAGCGTTTACCCCCAGGGCTGGAGAGAGGTGGCCCACTTTGGGAATCAGACCCCAGCTCTGCTGATTCCTGGCTGTGGGGCCTTGGGCAAGCGGCCCTCCCTGAGCCTCGGTCTTGCCCCCTATAAAATGCAGATGCTAACCCCACGTCCGGGCTTCTGTGAGGACCAAGTGGGGTGACTGGAGGAGAGCTGTGAACGGGCTGCCTGGGGCCAGGCTGGATGCCCAGGTGAACAAGCCACAGCCTGTGCCCTCAGGGTGTCCTGGCCTGAGGTGACAGCGGTTTAACACCCTGTGTGACGCCTGCTGTCAGAGGCGGAAGTGCAGGAGCTGTGGAAACCCGGGAGAGGAGCCTGACCCAGCAGGAGGCGTGGACGGCCAGGGAAGGCCCTGGAGGAAGTGATGTTTGCAGCTGGACCCAAAGGACGGGGCCTAAAGCGCGGGGCTCGGGATGAGCCCAGCATACAGAAACGACCACTGCGGGCAAGAACGTCCTCATGACAAGGCTGGAAACCATCCTCCACCACATAGGAGGGGCCTCGTTCACAGAATATTCCAGCACTGGGACTGCCCATCCTCTACAGCCCCCTCACTGCCCTCCTTCTGCTCCCGGAGCCCGAGTGGGCTCCAGCCTGGCCTGCAAGACAAAGCGGGCTGAGGGCCCACTCTCCCGGGGACAGCTTCTAAAGACTCAGGTCCCATGGACGCCCTGCACGCTGTGGGGGCGTCCCTGTCTCCATTTCTGAAGCCCTCTGTGTGGGTCGGAGACCCCACTGATTCTCAAGGTCAGAGCAGCAGTGCCAACACCGTGCGCCCCCGGCGGCGGAGGGCTTCCTGCGAGGGGCTTCTGGGGTCCCTCCACCGCCCTGCTGTGGACAGTTGGGGCCGGGCCCTTCTCTGTGTGCGGGCCATCCTGTGCGTTGTAGGATGTTTAGCTGCATCCCTGGCCCCCACCCACTAGGTCTCAGTCGCACCCCCTGCCCCAGTGGTGAGAAGCAAACACACCCCATCATCTCCTGGAGTGGAATCGCCGGGGCTGAGGCCCCTGCTCTGTACGCTTCGCCCCTAGTGTGACTCTCACCACTCACCCATGAGGAAGGACTACCTCTGAGAGACCCCATTTGACAGAAGGAGAAACTGAGGCTCTCAAAGGGAGAGTGACTACCTCCAGGTGACAGAGAGGAAATGAGGATTGGATGGCAAATCCAGTTATGGCCACCAGGCCTCAGGGATGAAAAATCCCAACTGGGGTGAGACGATGTTACTCACTTTCTGAAGCTCTTCAGCAAACGGGTGTCCCTTTTCTGCGATTAGCTCCATAGCAAACCTAGGAGGAAAGAACCGCATGCACCTTTTTTTTTTTTTCCAAGGAAGATTAGCCCTGAGCTAACTGCTGCCAATCCTCCTTTTTTTGCTGAGGAAGACTGGCCCTGAGCTAACATCCATGCTCATCTTCCTCTACTTTATATGTGGGATGCCTACCACAGCATGGCTTTTGCCAAGCGGTGCCATGTCCACACCCGGGATCCGAACTGGCGAACCCCCGGCCACGGAAGTGGAACGTGTGAACTTAACCGCTGTGCCACTGGGCCAGCCCCCGCGTGGCACCTCTATTGTGACACCCAGGCCCCGTCTTGTGGGAGGCAACAGAGACCCAGGGGGAGGCCGTTTAGCTAAGGTGGCTGTAACGCCATGGTGGTATTTTTCTTGCTGACAGTAAGAACACCATAACCTTCCATTTGGATAAGGGTGTTTGTTTCTCAGAGTGCCTTTTCTTGTACTCATTGCTCATCCGGTCAGCAATTCCTCTTTCAGGGCCTACCCTGGCCAGGTCCGGGCAGTCACTCATGAGCAGATGTGACAGAGGCTCTGTTCATAAGGAGAGGGACACGTGAATTGGATGTCACACAACTAAATGTGAAGTTTCAAACTGAGGTCAGTGCTCTGCAGGGAAGGGTGAGAGTCCTGAGGAACTGGGCCTGGGCTAGGCTTCCAGGAGGGCTTCCTGGAGGAAGTGATGCTGCAGGTGGGATTTGAAGGCTGAGTGGGAGTGCTCTGCTAAGACGGGCCAGGGAAGCAGAGTCAGGGTCCCAGCAGGGAACGTCCAAAGGGCTCCAGAGGAACGCCTCGAGGAGGGGCCATTCACAGAGGTGGGAGGAGTTGCAGGAAGTGACAGTGGGTGGCAAAGACGAGCAAAGGCAGGAGCCTGAAGGGGCAGGGAGGGCAAAGGCTCCGGAGCCGGAGAGAGCTGGGTTCTCCGTGGGGCCACCGCCGGGAGCCGAGCAGCCGGGAGAGAGTAGGTGGAAGGGCCAGAGCCACACACAGCGGGGACGGAGTGATCAACACTCCCACACCTCTCCCCCACTGTCCCGTCTCCCGCCGGCGCCTCCCACTGGCTGGACCCCCTGAAAGCCAGAGGACAGGGCGATGGGGTGAAACGGTCAGCAGGTGGTAGAGGTCAGCCTCCCGGGCAGAGAGGCAGAGGAGGGTGAGAGCGGCTTGGGAAGGGCAGGTGAAGGACCCCCCGTGCGCCTTCCCAGGCCGCCTCACGGTCAGAATGTCTCCCAGCCAGAACGAAATAAACAAATGCGAAATTCACGGCCTAGTGTTGGTCTTTCCCACTGGACTGCAAGGAGAGGCCACGCGGGCTGGGACACAGTCTCTTCGTCACAGCAGCATGCCTCACGCCTGGCACGTAGTAGGTGTTCAAGACTATCTACTTGCTGAAGGTGTTCCCGTGACGGAGGCCAGTGACAGGAACGCCTCAGGGCCTGCTCCATCCCAGCTCCCCCTACTTGTAGTTGGCCCTTTAATGTCTGTCTGCTCGCCCTGCGCCCCCAGACTGTGGGCTCCACGAAGGCAGGGCTGCGGCTCTCTGCTTGGCAGCGCCTGGCACACGGAGACGCTCCACCCGTGTCTGACAACAGAACCCACACTTACGGGTTCCCCATCTCCGGCCCCACGGCGGCTGAGAGATGATGGCGTGCTGCTCTGCCACAGCTGATGCTAGAACCCCCTCCCTGCCCCCTGCCCACTTAACTGTGTGTCTGCCTCCCAGTCCCCCTGCAACCTTCCCGCACATCCTTTTCTACTCTGCTGGCTGGTTAGCTATGCTTCCCATGATCTGTCCTGAAAACCTCATCTAGCCTGGCCCATCATTGAGAACTGGAAGCCATGAACAGGTAAGTCTTAATAATAATAACAGTAACAGCTAATGCTATTATTACTGTGCTGGGAACTGTCCTAAGGGAAACAGAATTATTTCACCCAATCCTCACAAGAATCCGGTGAGGTGGATACTATTACTATGATCATCTGACAGAACAGGGAACTGAGACTCAGAGAGGCCAGGTGATTTGCTTGAAGTCACAGCCAGTCAGCAGCAGTAAAGAATTTGAAAATTTGAAGCCAGGTCTGCTGATTGCCATGACCTTCGCCCCCAGGGCTATGTCAGAGCTCCTGAACCAGCACTTGAGATAACGGCTGCTCACATGGTCAAGGTCAACAGCCAGCTGAGCGCGGTAGGCTGATTCTGTCCTCAAGTATTTGCTGCCCCTTCCACCCCACAGCTGTCAGGCGTGTCCACAAGGGTGGCTCTGGCCAATGGCATGTGAGCAGACGCGCTGTGTCATGCCCCTGGGAGCCTTCAGAGCCAGTGGGAGCCTTACCAGGATCTCTTTTCCCTCTGCCACGGTTACTGAGATTGCTCCAGACACAGCTGTCCTGCCAGCCTGAGTTCTGGAGAGATGTCACGTGGAGCAGAGACAAACCCCACTCACAAGAGGCTTGAAGAAAGAGCATGAAATACACCTTTGGTGGTGCAAGCCATGAGCCTGGCAGATCCTGACCGCGGCACCTTCTAAACTAGGGGGGATCCCGTGAGTCCACCTTCTAAGCTCTGGCTGTATAGACGCTTATTTCAAAAACAAGACTCACAAAAGGGATCGCGTCTGATGCAGTGTGTTCTGTGCTCAACTCACCTGTTTCACTTAATCTGTGCACCTCCGTGGCGCACACATACGCACCTGAAGAGTGAGAGAGCCGGGGATGGAGGGGCGAGGCAGCTTCACAAGGGGTGGGCCAGATGCCAGAGCAGGAGCAGAGGGAGAGGCGCCCGCAGCCCGCAGCCTTGTGGAGCCGATCAGATGCCCTGTGCTGGCAGGTTCATCAAGGGCTGGCAGCCTCGGGGACCAGCCAGCACTCTCGAGAGCGTGGCATGAACCCCATTTCTTAATGCCCAGTTCAAATTCAACCTCAAGGCCAACCGCGGCTCCCTTACCCAATGGCTGAACTTAATTCATCTGTAGTTCCCACGGCTTCAAACACTTGGTCGTCTTTGGGTCTCCTTTCTCCAGTGAAGGTGCTCGAAAACCCTGGGAACAAATGTTTAGCTGCCCAAATTAAGACGTTTGTCCCTGATACGCTCTTTTACAGACTTTCCACTTGAAGTATAACATTGCAGAGAAAAGCGCTCAGATCCTAAGTGGGCAAGTTGATGCGTTTCCACTAAGTGGGTAGAGCTCTGTGATCAGCACCCAGATCAAGAAGTAGAATGTGACCAGCACCCTGGAAGGCCCTGTGGACCCCCTGCAGTCCTACCCCTCAAGGGTAACCACTATCCTCAGTTCTTCCCTGACAGGCTTTTAATTTAAAGTTAAAAATCATGTATTAACCATCCTGCTAAAGAAATGAAACATATAGGTCCATGTTATGTATACATTACAATTATAGTTCACATGAAATCGAAGTCCCCCGCCTAGGTCACATTTCCACTTCCTCCCCCAGCCACTGAGACAGAGCAGACCTGCTCTGACGGCCGGGGGCTGGCCTGGTACTCCCAGACAGGCCGTGGTGGCCTCCCGTTGAACACAACGATTTCACAGAACGCCACCAGAGGGGCCACGCTAGGGCTGTGACGGATCCAGACCAGAAGAGGACCACTCCATCTCCTCGTGTGAGCACAGAACAGTGTCCAAACCAGACGAGAGACCAAAATCCCCCTTCCTGGCAAATGTGGGTGACCGCTGGGGTTTATCAACTGGAGCTTGAGCCCCTGTTGGTCCCTCCCACCTTCTAGAAAAAATGATGCAACACCCAATTACAGAATTAGCCCTGCTTCCTGACAGCATCCAATCCAGAGCAGAGCCAGTTCAGTGGCATGCATGTTTCTATACTTTCACTCTCTAAGTACACATCCAAAAAACAATATATACTAGTGATCTGCATGGTTTTAAACTTTAGAAAATATATCACAATGAGATATTCCTCTGCATCTTACTTTCTTCTGTAAGTTCTGGTATTGTTTGTTTTATTTTATTTTTTTAAAGATTGGCACCTGAGCTAACAGCTGTTGCCAAACATCTTTTTTTTGTTGTTCTGCTTTTTCTCCCCAAATCCCCCCAGTACACAGCTGTATATTTTAGTTGTGGGTCCTCCTTGTTGTGCTATGTGGGACGCCACCTCAGCGTGGCCTGATAATGGTGCCATGTCTGCGCCCAGGATCCGACCCTGTGAAACCCCGGGCCGCTGAAGAGGAGCCTGTGAACCTAACCACTCGGCCACAGGGCTGGCCCCTGTTCTGGTATTGTTTAAATGATCAAAGCCATAAATGCTCGTTACAAAAAATAATAGAAGAGAATAAAAGTATGTAGAACGAGGGGCTGGCCCCGTGGCCGAGTGGTTAAGTTCGCGCGTTCTGCTGCAGGCGGCCCAGTGTTTCGTTGGTTCGAATCTTGGGCGCGGACATGGCACTGCTCATCAAACCACGCTGAGGCAGCATCCCACATGCCACAACTAGAAGGACCCACAACGAAGAATATACAACTATGCACCAGGGGGCTTTGGGGAGAAAAAGGAAAAAAAAAAAAAAAAAAAAAGATAAAAATCTTTAAAAAAAAAAAATTAAAAAAAAAAAAAAAAGTATGTAGAACGAACAGTGAAAGCCCTCTGTTCATTCCCCTCCCCCAGCTCAGTCTCTCTCCCAGGGAGTAGTCCCAGATGTCACCTTTCAGACTACACTACACATATCTACACACACACACACAGACACTTTTATCCAAACAGATTCCAATTATTTGGATTGTTCTACAACTTGCTTTTCTCATTATATATCTTGGGCATCTTTCATTTCACATCATATTTTGTGATCTATATTTTTCACATACTTTTTAATGGCCGTAAAGAATTTGGAGGAACTTTAACATGAAGTCGGCCATGTCTTTCTTTGCATTTTTCACCCGTCCCCACCCTACCTTTGTCTCCTGTTTTGGTGTAAATCTTGGGGACCTTGGGTGTCTTCGAGGAAGGCTGTGGCCTAACGAGAAAGACACATCGAGAGGTGGTGAGTGGGGATGGCTTACACAGGGGGCTCCTCCTTCACTGGTCCCGGCTCGCTGCTCAGCCTCACAGGTGGCACTTACCTGCCTCTGCTTGGATCTCGTGGACATCTTTCTCCTCCATCCCTCTTAGTTTTAAGCCCTTTGTGGGCTCCCAAGCTGTGTCTTGCCCACATCTGTATCTGCACAGTAGCTGATGCAGTGCACTGCTCAATGCAGATGCTCGATAACAATTCACTGAAGGAATTTATCAGTCACTTTCCACAGTCCCTGCACTGTGCAAGTGGATTACTGGCATTATCTCTTAGAATGATCCCTGGACTCTTCCCACAGTCCCAAGGTAGGCGCTGCCTCCGACGTTCATCCTACTGTTGTAGAAATGGTAGCTCACGTGATGGACTCACCTTCCCAGGTCACCCAGGGAGGAAACAGGAGGGCTGGATTCATGCCCAACACCATCTTACTCCAGGCCCCAAATTCTTAGCTCAAGCCTACCCACACTCTTTCCCCTCTATTCTACCAAGTCACGCCACTTTGGGGGAAAGAAGCCTGGGCCTCTTCCTTTCTAGGAGGTTCCAAGTATACTCGGAAATGAAAAATTGCAAAACGGGGTTCAGAGCCTGGCAGTTCCAAATAGCAACACAACACCTTTAATGTAGACCTCAAAACTAAAATGCGACTCTATAGACAGTTAATTTTCGACAACAGAGCCAAGAACATACAATGGAGAAAGGAAAATCTCTTCAATAAATGGTGCTGGGAAAAACTGGACAGCCATGTGCAAAAAAATGAAAGTAGACCATTATCTTACACCATACACAAAAATTAACTCAAAATGGATTAAAGACTTGAATGTAAGACCTGAAACCATAAAACTCCTAGAAGAAAACATAGGCAGGATGGTTTTTGACTTTGGTCTTAGCAATATCTTTTTGAATACCATGTCTGACTGGGCAAGGGAAACAAAGGAAAAAATAAACAAATGGGACTACACAGACTAAAAAGCTTCTGCAAGGCAAAGGAAACCATGAACAAAATGAAAAAACAACCCAACAATTGGGAGAAGATATTTGCAAATCATATATCTGATAAGGAGTTAATATTCAAACTATATAAAGAACTCATACAACTCAACAACAACAACAAAAACAACCTGATCAAAAAATAGGCAGGGCCTGGCCCCGTGGCCTAGTGGTTAAGTTTGGTGCACTCGGCTTCAGTGGCCCGGGTTTGGTTCCTGGGCATGGACCTACACCACTCGTTGGTAGCCATGCTGTGGCGGCAACTCACATATAAAAGAGAGGAAGACTGGCACAGATGTTAGCTCAGGGTGAGTCTTCCTTAGACAAAAAAATAATAATAACAATAAAAGACAAATAAGCGTTGGACAGGATGTGGAGAATCTTGTACGCTGCTGCTGGAATGTAAACTGGCACAACCACTATGGAAAACAGTATGGAAATTCCTCAAAAAATTAAAAATAGAAGTACCAGATGATCCAGCTATTCCACTTCTGGGTATTTATTCAAAGAACATGAAAATATGAATGTGTAAAGATATTTACATCCCTTAGCTCAGGGCTAGTCTTCCTCAGCAAAAAAGAAGAGGATTGGCAGTAGATGTTAGCTCAGGGCTAATCTTCCTAAAAAAAAAAAAAAGGGCCAGGTCCATGGCCAAGTAGTTAAGTTCGTGCGCTCCGCTTCAGCGGCCCAGGGTTTTGCCAGTTTGAATCCTGGGTGTGGACATGGCACCGCTCATCAGGCCATGCTGGGGCAGCATCCCACATAGCACAACTGGAAGGACCCACACTAAAAATGCACAACTATGTACCGGGGGGCTTTGGGGAGAAAAAGGAAAAATAAAATCTTAAAAAAAAAAAAGATATTTGCATCCCTATGTTCATTGCAACATTACTCACAATAGCCAAGTCTCGGAAACAACTTAAGCACCCACCAGCGGATGCATGGATAAAGAAGATACACAATGGACTGCTACTCAGCCATAAAAAAAGATGAAATCTTGCCATTTGCGACAACATGGATGGACCGTGAGGACATCACGCTCAGTGAAATAAGTCAGATGGAGAAAGCCAAACACCACACCATCACACTCATCCGTGGAAGATAAAAAACAACAAAAACCAAACATATAGACACAGAGAACGGAATGGTGGTTACCAGAAGGGAAGAGGGGGCGGGGGAGGGTAGAAGGGCCCATGTGTACAGTGACGGATGGCAACTAGACTTTGGGTGGTGAACACAATGCAGTCTACACAGAAGTCAAAATATAATGATGTACACCTGAAATTTATATGTTATAAACCAATGTGACCTCAATAAAAAGTTAATTAAAAGAAAAAAATTAAAATGTGACATTACAAGATTATTCAAAGGCTAAATTACCCGACCTATGAAATAGATTATTAGGAATTCATGGTACTCCACAGGTTGTGAGGTCCGGGAACGGGGGGCGAGTTTCCAGGTACGTGATGACAGTTATCTGCAGATCGCGTGGGTGTATCTCTGTGTCTCAGAGTATGAACTGCTTTGGAGGTAGGTCAAAATGTAAATTGAGGCCCCTCCTGATGGTGAGGCCAGGCCAGACGGCCCTCCTGCCACATGGAACACGCCCTGCCCTGCTGGATGATAGATGGGCCCCCTTCGGACTTGTCTTGCGCAAAGAAATCTTGATCTCTGGCTTCCACAGTGCCCACGTTGCCACGGTGACGTCACGACTAAGAGAGGACGTCATCTGGCGGTTGCAAAGTGACCTCACAGCGGTGTTACGTAACGATGGCGACGACACCACAGTTCACCGCATGCGTCAGAGTTACCCTCGAGCCAGGCACTCACCTGTCCCCGTCTTCCGTGCCCTGGGGGCCGCGGCTCTGGAAACGGGGACATAGTCGTCGGCCGGCGCCGAGGCACGTGCGCAGACCCACGCGGCCTCCCAGGACGAACGCAGCCATGCCTCAACCCGTTGGTAGGGGGCTGACCCCGCCAGGCTCCCGTCCAGGTCGCGGGGTGACTCCACCTCCCGCCGGCCGCGCCACCGCTCAGCTACCGTTTTCCATTGGTCCGCGGCTCTCTCACCAGGGCGGGACCCTCCCCGAGACTTGTTTCCCATTGGTTCCTGGAAGGAGCTGGGGCGGGGAAACCCGTGACGACTTGGTTAGCAACACCTATTGGCCAATGCTCCAGCCAATTGGTGAAGGAGCTCCCGGCTCGCGCGCTCTGATTGGCTGGGGGGCAGGACGAGGCCAACACCCTCGCTCCCCCCACCCCCCCCCCCGGTTGCTCGGCCACCCGGGGATGGAGTCCCGGAGCGGCTCGGGCTCGGGCGGCAACCGCAGCAGCAGGTGAGGCAGGGGGCGCGGGGCGCGGGGCGCGAGGTCCGAGCTGCTCTGGCCCGGGTTCCCCAACTCTTAGAATCCGTCCTGAGCGTTCGGCGACCTCGAATCGGAAAAACGTTATTTTGAGTTTCGGGCAAGCGATGGGTTTCCCCTCTCCGAGCCTCGGTTTCCCTCTCTAAGAAACGGGGACCGCGATGGTATTTAGTTCATAGTGCAAAAACCGAAAATCCGCACACCCGTAGACCCAGGGAGTCACTTTCTGGGGCTCTGTCTTGTGGAGACCGTCGCTTCAGTGTGCAGAAAGGGGTGTAACGGGTGTTTTCTGCAGCCTCTTTATAGTTGTGACACATTGGAAACAGCCGAAATGTCCGGGAAAGAGTTCTTTCTGGTCCGTGATTTTATTTAAATGTCTACCTTGAATAGTAAAAGCTGGAACGAAGAACAGAGTCTGTGATAAGCAGCTGTGTGATAACCGTGCACCAGACACTGCTAAGTTTGCGTTATTTTATTTAACCTTCCCAAACCCGTTGAGGTAAGTACAGTTATCGTCCCCATGTGACATGTGGATACTGAGGTTCAGAGCATTTAAGTGAGTTAGCTAGGATGACGTCACCGGGGAGTGGAAGAGGTGGGGTTTGAACCCAGATCTTTCTGACATGTCTAATTGACTGCTGCACTGCACTGCCTTTTGGGCACAGAGCAAGTGCTGAATGGTAGCTGCCTTTTTTGTTGCAATGGTGAGCTTGAACTAGCTGTGCTCTAAGATCTCTATGATCTGGGGCCCCCCATCCTCTCTCTGGCTTTCCCTTTCAGAATTCTCAGGAGCTATGTTGTCGGAAGTGCTGCTGGTGTCGGCTCCCGGGAAAGTCATCCTCCACGGAGAGCATGCTGTGGTCCATGGCAAGGTAAAAGGCCCCCAGAGCCTTCGAGAATTGGGCATCACTTCTCCCTGTCACTAATCCTGAAAGAAGCTAAAAGGAAGCCTTGAGGCGTAGTCTGGGAGTAGATCGGAGAGGACATCAGTTTCTCCCCAGCCAGGCAAAGAAAAGACAGGTCTGATGCCTACTGAAGGGCTTCTCTGACCCGCTCAGTGAGAGAGCAAAAGGATGATGTATAAAGCCTTGTGGGTGGAATGGGATCACCTAGGAAGTAGGCTTCAGTGGAGAAGAAGAGAGGTTTGAGGGCTGGGCTCTGGGCTCTCCAACGTTTTGGAAGTCAGGAAGATGAGTAGCATCTGGCAGAGGAGTCTGAAACACGCATTATTCATTTAACTCTTAAAACAGCCCTCTGAGGTTAAACTTTAGTTTATCTTGTTTGCAGATGCGGATGCTGACGCTTAGGAGAGGATTGCTAATTTGACTAAGGTCCCATTCAGCCAGTAGAGCTAGGAGTGAGCCTAAGTCTATCTGGACCCAAAGCTCGTACTTTTCCCACTCCTCCACTTGGTCATTCTTTATGTTCTTATACTGCTCTTTGAAAACATGGTGATTCTGGGCAAGCCATTCCTGGTGTTGAGAGCCTGTGAATTTTTGCATGGGGAGGGCAAACGTAAGTAGATATTAACTCCTGGTTGCTGATGGTGGCTGTGCCCAGGCTTAGTGGGTGAGCTTGCCAAGGTGATCAGCAGTGTCTGCCAACGGCATGGGTGGAAGTGGCCTCTGTGCTAGTATTTGCTCTCATCTCAGCACATTGACATCATCCCTTTTTTCCCAAGACAGGAGCCATGCTCCTTGCCACCCACCCTCGGGCTAATTATTTTGCTCTTCATTCTGCAGGTAGCACTGGCTGTGGCCTTGAACTTGAGGACATTCCTCCGGCTTCAACCCCACAGCACTGGGAAAGTAGGCCTTAACTTGCCAAACATTGGCATCAAGCAGGCCTGGGATGTGGCCAGCCTTCAGCTGCTGGACACGAGCTTTCTGGGTAAGTGCAGGGAGGAGGACTCAGATGTGGGAAGAGCCGGGGCCTGGAAGAGAGGGCCAAAGAGGATGTCCAAGTGCTCGTTCCCGGCTATCCTGGAGGGAGCCGGAAGTCAGCCACTCCGGGGATGTTTTCTCTCCTGTCCCCGTGAAATTAGCTTCCTTTATTTATTAATTTTTTAAAATTTAAAAGTATAAAATGATGCACTAGATCTCTGTGGGCTGTTGTGGACAGATCATCAGGGCCTGCTGTTGAGTGAAAAGCAAGATGCGAAACAGCCTGTGTCGGATGATGGGGATGGCAGAGTCAGTATCAGTATGTATGTAAATACAGAGAAAAGGCTGGGCTGCTACACAGCCAGCTGACCATGGTACGTATGGTTAGGGAGTGGACAAAGGGAACCTTGCCTTCTGTGATGTTGTTTTAACAAGAAGACTGTATTAGTATTTTATAGAATTAAAAATCGTTAGAAGTAAAAGTAACTTATGCTTATTATTGGAAAATACAATTAATACTG